AATATATGAATAAATGCATCTCAAAAGAAGACATACAAATGGCAAAAAAAAAAAAAAAAATGAAAAAGTGCTCAACATCACTGATCATCAGAGAAATGCAAATAACACTTCAATGAGATATCATCTCCCCCCAGTTAAAATGGCTTTTATCCAAAGACAGGTAGGAACAAATGCTGGCAAGGATGTGGAGAAAAGGGAACCCTTGTACACTGTTGATGGGAATGTAAATTAATACAACCACTGTGGAGAACAGTTCGGAGCTTCCTCAAAAATATAAAAATAGAACTACTATATGATCCAATAATCCCACTGTTTGGTATATACCCAAAAGAAAAGAAATCAGTACATCTAAGAAATAGCTGCTGCACTCCTATGTTTCTTGCAGAACTGTTTACAATAGCTAAGATTTTGTCCATCAACAGATGAATGGATAAAGAAAATGCAGTATAGATACACAATGGAGTACTATTCAGCCATAAAAAGGAATGAGAACCAGTCATTTGCAACAGCATAGATAGAGCTGGAGATCACTACATGAAGTGAAATAAGTCAGACACCGAAATACAAATATCACATGTTCTTACTTATTTGTGGGATCAAAAAATCAAAACAATTGAACTCATGGACATAGAGAGTAGAGAATGGTTACCAGAGGCTGGGAGGATAGTGGGGGCTGGGGGTGAAGTGGGGGGCAGCAGAGGTGGGGATGGCTAAAAGGTACAAAAGGAAGTTAGAAAGAATAAATAGGACCTATCATTTGATGTACCACAGAGTAACTATGGTCAATAATAATTTCATTGCATATTTTAAAATAAGAATGTAAATGAATTGTTTGTAACTCAAATGATAGGTGCTCGAGGGGATGGATACCCCATTCTCTATGACATGCTTTTTCATATTGTCTGCTTGTATCAAAATATCTCATGTACCCCGTAAACAATTACACCTACTATGTACTCAGAAATATTAAAAATAAAAATATTAAGAACAAAATGAGAGAGGTTTACAATGTTAAAGTAGCTACCATTAAAAACAATAATAACACCAAATGTTAGCTAGGATACAGAATTATCAGAACTCTTGTATATTTTTTGGTGGAAATGTAAATTCGTAACTATTTTAGAAAAAGCTTTATAATTTTCTTCTTTCTTTCTTTCTTTCTCCTTCCCTCCCTCCCTTCCTTTCTTCCTTTGTTTCCTTTTCTTCTTTCTTTTTTTCTTTCCCTCCCTCCCTCCCTCCCTGCCTTCATCCCTGCCTCCCTTCCTTCCTCCCTTCCTTCCATCCTTCCTTTCTTCCTTCCTTCCTCCCTCCCTCCCTCCCTTTCTTTCTTCCTTCCTTCCTTCCTTTCCTTCCTTTCTTTCTTTCCTTCTTTCCTTTTTCTTTTTTTTTTTCTTTCTTTTTTTTTTTGACATAGTCTCACTCTGTCACCCAGGCTGGAGTGCAGTGGTACAATCTTGGCTTACTGCAATCTCCACCTCCTTCAAGAAATTCTCCTGCTCAGCCTCCGAGTAGCTGGGATTACAGGCGCCTACCACCATGTGCAGCTAATTTTTGTACTTTTTGTTAGAGATAAGATTTCACCCTGTTGGCCAGGCTAGTCTTGAACTCCTGACCTCAGGTGATTCGCCTGCCTTCGCCTCCCAGAGTGCTGGAATTACAGGCGTGAGCCACTGTGCCCAGCCTATAATTTTCTTAAAAAGCTAAATTAACCAGTAAAATATTCCTTAACCTAATAAATCCACTTTTAGATTTTTATCCAACAGAAATGAAAATGAGTGGCAACTAAAAGATGTGGACAAGAATGTGTGTAGCACCTGTTTGTAGTAATCCTAAACTTGAAACAATCCAAAAGAGCATCAGCAAAAGGATGGTTAAAGATTTGAAGTATTCTCATGCCAGATACTACCCTGGAATAAAAAAGAACAAATTACTGATATGAGGAATAGTCTGGATGCCTTTCATAATCACTACGCTGAATGAAAAAAGCTGAACAAAAAGAGTACGTAGTTATGAGATGGGAGCTAATAAAGAAATTACTTAGGTTTAGTGAGGGTAAGTGATTCCTTGGTAAGGTTTCCCTTTTAATAAAAAGCAGCCCCCAAATCATTTATTTCCAAACAAAAAGCAGCCTGAAAAATTGAGCTGCAGACATAGATAAGCAAGCTGGAAGCTTGCATGGATGAATGCCAACAGCTGTGCCAACAGGAAAAGGCTACAATGGGCCAGACATGTTCACCATGGAGGCTCCTTCTCCCCTTTCTTTGTCACCATGTGTGTAGTAAGGAACAGGCAACATGGCATCGGCCAGGCAGAGAACCATCTGCAAAATAAAAGATTTGGATGGGAGTGGCCAGATTCTTGCACGCTATGCAAATGGCACAGCTGATCTGACCTATCGTGTGTGCCCTGTGTCAATCAGACGCCACTTCCACAAGCTCATCTATAAAACCCTGCGCATCTCAACACGAAACCAGCGGAAGCCCTGGCTCTGCAGCAGAGACAGCTCTTCTCTTTCTTGCGCCTATTAAACTACTATTCTTAATGTCACACTGATGTGTCCGCGTCCTAGTTTTCCGTGGCTGTGGGACAGCGAAAGTCAGCTATTACCCCAGATGAACAACGCCACTTCAGTTATGATCCCATTTTTATAAAGATCTAGAATAACAGCTAATCTATGATAAATATATAAATAAAAATATCTAAAAAATACGTACATGTTTTCTAGAGATAGCTGAGAAGCAATGACACACTAATAACAGTAAGCACATCTATAACCCAGATTGTGGTTTCTGAATATTAATCTTCACTAAAAGAAACCAAGGCCTCTTAGAGAAATGATTGATTCTTGGGCTGATGAAGGGAAATAGTGATGAGCTGGAATCTCTTTTTGCAACAGAAAATGACAAATGTTTTCAAATAATGATGAAATCCTATCCAAAAGACCCAGGAGGTTCTTATGGCCAAGCTCATGACATTTGACCATCAAAAGAAATAACTATAATAGATTGCAATTCATTGAATAAAATAAGAATCAATGAGTACATTAAAAGACAAATAGAGAAAGTCTCCCTTAAAGGAGAATGCACACTGGTAAATATAGAGGAAGTGATGAAGTTAGAAAACTTCATCAATGAAGCTAAAGCTTATTAGGTAAATATTTGATGAGAAACAAAATTTATATATAATCTCAAACTATCTCCCCACAAATTAATTATTACAAAGGTAAAAATATAACTTCACACTGGAGAAGCTTTATTCAACCAATCAACGTTAACACATGCAATTTTAGGACAAACACAGGGACGTGCCTCCTGATGTGATGCACTGGGAATAACACTATGCATTCCTGTAGTATTCCTGTAGAAAAAGCAAAACCTGAATTTAATCTTGAGGAATCAGCAAACAAACCCAAACTGAGGGACATTCCATAAAGTAAGTGCCCTATAATTTTTTTAAATCAAAGGTTGAGAAACTCTTTCAGATGGAAGTAATCTAGAGAACCATGATAACAAGTTCTAGTGGAAGGTCCTGGAGTAGGTGAGGAACCAAGGAAAAAATTCGGATAGCCAGCCAAAGTGAATATGGACCGTGGATAACATGTTATATGGTGTCAATATATGCCAAAATGGGATCATTGTACTATGGTTATGTCAGAGAATGTCCTTATGGGGAAATACATGTGAAGAGACTATTTTTCTCAAAATAATAACAAAACAGAACTTGAGATTTCTATTATACTCTATGTGGATGGGGTAAAAGAAATAGAGAAGTTAGAGAGTAGCGCACTATTTTTTTCCATGTTTCCAAGACATTCAAAAATATAAGTAATGGGAAGACAGCCACATTGAGAGTAACCTCTAATACAATTCTTAATAAAAATTCTTTAATTATCCATGAAAGACACTATTTACAACCCACATTTTTTATTCTGCCTAAAATAGCAAATGTGTTTTCAGTTTGTGACAGGCAACTGATATTATTATTAAAATCATAAAGAAGACAAAGAAAAGTCAAACTTCATTTAAAATATCTGCTTTCAGTAAAGTGCCAAGCTTTCTTAGACTTGAGCTAACATAAAATATGACTCCGAGCGATATTTTATATACACAGGTATACATGTCTACATCCATATGTATACATATACATATACATATATACACATATAAATGTTCATAAACACATACAAAATGTACACATTTACAGTAGACATTCTATTTTTTAAGATTTTTCTAAAGAAGTAAGACCTCCAGAACAGTCAATTGTAGATTACCATCACTTGACATAACACTGGTGACCCTGGAAAGATGAACATTTGAAGACTTTTTGGTTTATTATATTTGAGCATGAAGGTATAGTATCTTGAAAAAGATAATGCCCTCTCCTGACGTCAAAGCTTCTACAATTTATGGGAAAAAAAATAAATACATTATCTGCAAAATTTCTAAGTGCTTTTGTCTAGTCTTGTGCCTAGTGCTGGTTCTTATTAATTATTTCCTGAATTACTCATTTAAGATACATCAAAAGTAACCAAAGAAGTTATTTTCAGCATCCTCAGAAGGTATATCAATTTTAAAATTTGACACATCTTAGTTTACTTCACTAAAAAAGATGGATATTGTAAGAAAGGAAAATTTTTCCCTCTACCCTCTTAAGTTCCGTGGCTGTTGTCCTTCACAGTAAACCTACAAAAGGGAAATTAACAAGAAAAATCATTTATCACATATGCACATGAAGTCTGTCATAGAAAAAAAGTGAAGACCTCAAACAGTAAAACCCAGGGCTACATACCATTTTAACAAAGAGCAACAGACTGTGTGGAAGTGACAAGATGAAGGAAAAGAGGATTAGGCTTTTAAGGGTGGTTAATTGTGGGAAAGTAAATATACAGGAGAAACTAATGAAATCTTGTTCGGTAAGATTTGTTATTCAGGATCCTCTCAAGTGCTGTCTCTGGGCTGAGCCTAGATCAAGCTTGTCCAACCCACAGCCTGTGGGCTACATGTGGCCCAGAGTGGCTTTGAATGTAATCCAACACCAATTTGTGAGCTTTTAAAAAAAATTCTGAGTTTTTTGTGATTTTTTTTTCTTTTTTTTTTTTTTTTGCTCTTCAGCTATCATTAGTGTTAATGTTAGTGTATTTTATGTGTGGCCCAAGACAATTCTTCTTCCACTGTGGCCCGGGGAAGCCAAAAGATCGGACACCCCTGCAGATCATCTCTAGTGATCACAAACCATTCTCCCCTTCCTGGCACAAGAGAAGGGAGAAGGTGGGGCACCTTCACCAAGGGAGATTTATGACCTGACTTTAGGCAAATAGAGGAGGGTAGGAGTCTTTTCAATGCTTACTGTTTCTAAGTTGCCTTCAGCTCGAAATAATCCTCATGCCAAAATGGTATATTTTGGGGTGGCATACTCCGGTCCCTTTCAGTATGTATTTGCTAATATTAAGGAATCATCTAAAAATACTGGTCTTCATATTGTCTAAGAATGCTAATTTTGGAAAACCATCAATGTTCATGCTTTCCTTTAATTGTGAAAATGCAATGCCTTTTGTCCTTTCATCGTTAAGAAAAAGAGAGCATTTTAGCAGACTTTTACTAAATATCAGCACTTAGTTTCTTTCTCAATTAGATGGAAACAGCTGGTGTGGACCGCATTTCCCTGTATCTTTGCTTACCAGAAGCATTTGGGAAGTCAAAAGAATAACATTGCAGCAGGGACTTCGCTCAGTAATGAAAATTGCAGAATGGTTTCAATAACAGTAAACATTTAAGGCCCATTAAGTCATCTTTCTCATTGTGCTTAACACCATCAAATTCAATGAGTGAATCAATGGCCACAGCTGGATGCAAGAAGCATTGAAATTCAAGAACGATGTCACTGCATCAGTGACAACAAGCCTCAGAAGTAGTGGGCGAAAGATACAAAGTCATCACTGAATTTTGATTGTAGCTCAGCATCAGATTAGAAGATGACTTGATGTCTCACAATGATTCGTTAAACCTAAGATTCATGATGTCGGGGGGAGGGAAAAACAGCACAAGCGTTCTTGAATGTTTAGCAGTGAGCATTTAAGGAGAAATTTATAATTTGGTTTTGGCTTTTTTTTAGTCGAGATAACGCAAACCACAGGATCTTTTCATTTTATCAGACAAATAGATAAAAAACCAATTTTAGAAAACAAGCCTTCCAACTCCAGTGCTCTTATTTTTCTCTCCTCATTATTTTTTGTAGACTGTAACCATGGCAATATTCAGAAACACAGCTCTGTTTCTTGCATAGCTTCCAAGCTTGCATATCTGCATGTCACCACCTCCGCTCTACAGCAGCCACACTTAGACTCCTTTAAAAGCCAGTTTTACCTTTCTTTATTTCATCTCCTTGTAATTCTGATGAGTCCCATTTGATACTGCTGGCTTGGGGACACCATCAAGCACATCTTTTCCTTCTCAGAGCCGTGGGTACAGATGCTGCAATTGACTTGGATGGAATTCTACCCTGATGAGAACTCAAATTAAGTTGGGAAATCTCAGCTGCAGATGTGAAGAACATTATCACCCATTGAAATAGATGAAAGTGAGAAGCATTTATGACATCATCGAAAGAATTTTGTCTTTCAGATTGTGTTAACATGTTAAATTACCTTTAGAGTCACAGCAGACCGGCCATCTGCCACAAGGACAAATGACCTGTGGCCATTCCAGTTAAATAGCCAGCAATTCTCCTTAAACCTCCTAAGTATAATTTACCTCTTAGCCATTGCAGCCGACAGACTCAGTGGGTGCCTCAAGAATGATCTGGCTTCTCTGGTGCGCCATGGTAGCTTCCTGCTGCCATATCACCTCTTCGTGGTCTGTCTTACACCTGCGGCCTCGGAACACTGGTTTTTCTCTCCTACATGCCATTCTTCCACCTCCAATCAGATTCACATACACGTGCACACACCCAAGAGGACTACTTGTTCCCACCAGAATCCTCTAATTTTATTTGTACTCTTTTTCAATCTCAATCCCAACTAAATCCATTTTATTCCTAGACTCTCCTTGTCTCTCATTAAAAACTGAAACCCTCAGATCAAAAATTAAATATGAGGTTAAAAAAAAATCTCGATGTATTATAGTAAAATTTCAGAACTTTCTGATAAAGAAAAGCCTCAGAATAAGTCATAAAGGAAAGACTGTCTACAAAAAAACGACAGTTCAGCTAAGAGCTGACTTACCCTCAGCAAATATAGCCACCAGTTGGTAAAGTACTATCATCAAAACATTTTGGAAAAATAACTGAATGCTATACATATCATTCAAAGGCGAAATAAAGACATTTTAATATGCAAAAAAAAGTAAAAACCGCACACCTGTTTGAAGTAGCAGAACCTTCTAGACACAGTTCAAATGAACGTGCATCCACATCTGTATCCTCTGATGCTCCATGAATCTTAAGTCTATTCAATAGCCATGGACAGTCAGTCCCATCCTCAGCATCAAAAATCAAAACTGTTGATAGGAGTTCAGGACATGCTACCCCAAAATACGACGCCGTGGCATTTGAGAAAACAGCAGAAGCAGGAAAGTCACTCTGACCTTCTCTTGCCCTTGTCTCCTGAGACAGATCAAACAACCCTCGTGTGAGAAAAGGAGTATCTTCTTATCTGAAGGCGCAGGGGCACAGAGAGAAAATTGAACCAACAGGGCTTGCTATGTTCCTTCTAGTTTATTACTATTAGATCATACTGTATAGCCAATCTTTATGACTACTTACTTCTTCATCAAACCTAGCACAAAAGAGAAATATATTTATCCATTTCTTTTGGTCTTAATTTACTTATGAAGGCTCCCATATCACACAAAAGGTATATTAAATAGGTTTGTATGCTTTTTCCTTCGTAATCTGTCTTTTTTAAATAGGGGCCTCAGCCATAAACCTACGATGGGCGAGGAAAATATATTCTTCATCTCCTACACTGTGGAGTAGTAAAGGTTTTTTAAGGTCAACAGAAACTAGGGAAGAAGTGAATGTAAAGACTGAATGTGAGCAGAGAAAAACAGTAAATATAGAAAAAAGAATATATTAAGTAAATAAATATTTGGCCATAGTTATCATGTTAATAATACCTTATTACTATGTCATTTATGAATACATCTGTCAAGACTCCATTTGTCTAGTGATAATCTTTTTAATGCAATCTATTTTAAACAAACTAGAGATCTAAATAATTTGTCCACAGCAGATGCCCTATTACCATTCATACACAAATAGAAACATACTAATGACGTCCTGCCTATGAATGGGGCAGTCTATTTCTAACTTATCTGACCTCAAACATGCTTAGATTCTTTAGATCTCTGTGTCTTCTATAACCTCATTTACAAAGTGAAATTGATTCGATGACTGCCAATACTCTACCAGTCTCTAAAGGCTAGTGTTACTGATTCCCCGGTCTTTAATTTGAACATACAAACAAAAATTGCCAAACATAGATGGAAAATCCTCAAGTTTTCCAAAGTTAAAAAAAAAAAAGACAGTTTAAAAGAAAAGATATCTGATCTAGGGATAATCTTTGAGGAAGAAGAAGTTTGTATCACCAAAGGGATTTGCATAGGAAAATTGCCTTAGCTGGTTCCAGCAAATAGAATCTTTATATTCCTACAAAGGTAAAGAAGAAGAGCTCAACAAAGGAAGGATATTTCAACAAAAATTTAAAGGCTCTTTTTATATAAAACTATCACTGAGACTTTGTTTCACATCAACTAAAAACAGACTGTGTGAAAAAAATTCAAATAAATTTGTTATGAACCACATAACCAGAGATTGTTTTTCTCATATTGTATTAGGCTTTGTCTCTGCTGGAATAATAACTAGAAAATGAGACTGAGCCAGTTTTATTGTTTTTGTTCTCTTATATACCCTATCCATAGGAGCACACAATAATTTCGTGTATTCCCATGGTTCTTGAACCAGGATGCTCCCTGTGTTATCTTGATCAATGCATTTTGCCACTAGAGGCAGACAAAAAAAGAAAAAGAAAGGGGGCAATTAGCTCATAACCAACTTAATCAGGCCTTAATATAACTCAGAAATGCTAACTGAAAGAAAAAAATGCGATCAATACAAGTTCTTTTATTATCAGGAAAGATAGGTCAGAAAATATCACCAATTAGCTAGTAGTCATCTATCATAATGTGGTAACAGAGAAAAGGGGCGCCTTGACTGAAAAAGGCAAATTTAGCTTCAGTCAAACACATATCAGCGGTTGCTAAGACAGTCCGAATGTTTTCAGATCCTTTTACCAACTGTGCATTTGAAGAAGTAGTCATACTTTTCAAAATTTCACATGTATTATCTGATTTAATCTTCCTCATAATCTAGGAAGGTACAGAAATGCCAGTATTAAATATAAAGTAAATTTTACCATATTTATTCATGAGTAAACTGTTATTAATATATTTGTTATAAATGAATTGCTTCAGGGTAGTTATAAAGACGAAATGGGCACAATACAAGAATGAAAGAAGCTATGATTCCTACCTTCCACCAGCATACAATATAGGTGAAGGGAGAAAATATGGAGGACAAAAAACTTTTAACACCACGTAGCATATTGCATTATGGTTTTATACAATGAACCACAAGTACTAAAGGGAAAGCAATAAAGAGAATTCAACTCAAGCTGCAGTAATCTGGAAAAGATTCAAGGAAAAGGTACAGTCCATGGTTAATCACAAAAGTTGCTAAGATTTGTATAAGGCAAACAGAGATAAACATGTCTTTGAACAAAACAGGTTAAACAACATATTTAATGAGAAATAATTATGTTTATTTACAGCACAGTGAGAATGACACCAAAATGTAAATCAAAAGAAAAGAAACCCAGTACTACCCTTGTATTAAACATGAAGAACTCATGGGGTATAATAAAAACCCCACTTAGTTTCAACTCTCTCTACAGTTTCAAAGTAGTCCCTGGGAGCATGTTATGGTCCAATGGCATGGTAACAAGCTGACTGGCTTTCTCGGGGGGCGGGAACAGTTCTGATCGGCAGCACTTACCAGTTTCTGTGGTGTAAATATGTTCACTGTGGCCAGTTTTAAGCTACAGATGTTTTAAACCACAGGATCCCAGAGTTCCTGAATATTTAATGGCCAGCTTTTCAAGCCAGTGGAATTCTGCTACAGCACACCACTGGTTTCCCCTGAACCTTGAAAAAATGTGTTTCCACCATATGTCTTCCCTGGTTACTCTTAGGCTACATAAATGTTGAAGTCTCTAAGTTGCAAAACACTATTTCCTTTTAATAATAAAAATTATGAAGCCCACGTAATAATGAAAGCTTCGAACCTGCTTTGAAGCTGGGCAGGGGGGAGGTGTTCCTGGGTAAGTTATCTTCTTTGTCCCCTTCTACTGTTACTCCTCTTCTTCCTGTGGTGTATAATCCACTCTCTCAGCCTTATGGCTGGTGACTGGAAAGGAAGAAGGAAAGGGCCCAAAAAGCAGTGGCGTGACTGAGACTATGGTGAGCTGGTGTTATAACTACAGAACGTGGGATATGTATAAAGCATGTGCACTCTTTTCATATTAACTGGGCTTCTGAAATTTCTGTCTTTAGCATCCTTCAGCATGACCTCCCATAACCAGGGCGATTGCTTCTCTATTCTAGTTATCTGCTTTCTTTGTCCTCTGGCCTTACAAATCAAACAATAGTTCCACACTTTTTCTGCTGAAATCTGCCTACCTCTCCAAACCAGAGTTCAACAAACTTTTTCTGTACAAGGCTAGATAATAAATATTTTAGGCTTTGTGGCAACTCCTCTACTCCTATAGCCCGAAGCAGCCATATGCAGTTCCTAAATGAATGAGCATGGCTGTGCTCCAAAATTTACAAAAATGCAATGAGGTTTGGCCTGAGGTCTTGGCTTGCCAACCTCTGCCTCAGACAGCCTTAAATAACGTGTATTGTGACCCTCGCTGGTTCACTCTCATATACAGTCCTTTGGACGTGCTTACACATCCTATGCCCCAATTAACCAGGGTGGTGAAATAACTTCCCAAATTTGGGCTGCCTAGGCCAGAAATCACTTAGATTTCTCAGGTGTCTTAGACAGCAATCTACCCAGCCCTTCAAATGGTAGGGACATATATTAAGCTGTTCAACTCTCCTTAGAATCCTTCTCTTTTGAGTTGGACAGAAGGTTTCATGTAAGTTTTGGGGGCAGATGAGGGGGTGAGGAGGATGAGACTCATAGGAGGAAATATACACTTAAAAAATCCTCAAACCTCCTCTCTCAATCTCAAAAATATAATAAATTTCATGTCCTAAACATTGTCAAGAGGTCTTTCCTTCCTAGTTTGAAAATACTACTTAAGGCCCAGTACCACCTTGGAATATGTTAACTATTATCCTCTGCTTTTCAGCTCAAACTTCCATTTTACCACCCTGTGTAAAAGGTTTAATAGGAGTACTGGCATAGATATTGGAATCATAGGCCACGTATCCCAAATAAAGTGATTTTAACTCCATTCACAGAGTAACAATAAAGTATTTAGGGTGAAAAGTGATGAATGACATAAGAAAACTACTCTTTAAGAAAACATAAGTTCAGTCAAGAATTGGTTGTATTGAAAATCAGGAGATATTCTGACAGCAGGGAAATTAATTAGAGGGTTCTTGCAGATAATGTAATAACCCAAACTAGGATTATATGTATAAGATGGTGACAAAAGCGGGAATATGTAAGACAGACCAAACATCTGAAGGTGACTGATTACAGTGAATGAAAGAAGAGTGAGTAAACTTTTCCCCCTTTCAAGTTTAGATGTCAGAAAATTGACAAAAATAAGCAAATCAAGAAGGGCAGGAAATGGAGTAATAAGAGAAATGATGAATTCTATTCAGGACAGGCATGATTTGAGGTCATGTTCACACATCAAACTAAGGCTTTATGCTTAGCTGTGGCTACACCTATACAGATTTAGAAAGCTAAACAAGTAGATGATATTATGCAGAAGCAGGGTAATTCACACAGCAATGGAATACAGAGAAGAGAGAGAATTTTGGAAATGCTCCCAGTCAGGAGCAGGAGAAGAAATAAAAATAAAAGAGTAAACAAGTTGAGTTTATTTTTTATTGACTCTATATGAAATTTTGGGGAAGAAGTAAAGCTTTTAATTTGATAAGGACAGAAAAAATTCCTTAAAGTTCATTTTTAAACATGTTTAAATGTTTGTGTTTGATATACAAGGAAGATGAGAAACACTCTTTTATGTAAAGTGGTAAGATTTGATTTATACACCACTTCTGAGTATGGAGTCACGATTTAAACATAAATGCCTTGCTGGGCACGGTGGCTCACACCTGTAATCCCAGCACTTTGGGAGGATGAGGCGGGTAGATCACCTGAAATCAGGAGTTCGAGACCAGCCAGGCCAACATGGTGAAACCCTGTCTCTACCAAAAATACAAAAATTAGCTGGGCGTGGTGGTGCCTGCCTATAGTCCCCGTAGTCAGTGGCCGAGGCAGGAGAATCGCTTGAACCAGCAAGTGGAGGTTGCAGTGAGCAGAAATCACGCGGCTCTATTCTAGCCTGGGAGACAGAGTGAGACTCCATCTCAAAAAAAAAAAAAAATCAGTCCCGGTTTGGTTTTAAAAAACCGTATCATCCACCTGGAAATTCACATCAACTCTCTCAGCCCATCTCCTCATATTCACAATGATAGTGAATACTGCACCTATACCCTAGAATGATTATGAGAGTTAAATGAGGTAATGCAAATAAGGCAAGATCATAATACTTGTCACCTTGTAGGTGATAAATAAATGTTAGGTATCATTATCATGCTCATTATCAATAAAATGAGAGCAAACACACTTTTCTCTTCTTACTAAAATAATTGCATTTTCCACCTAAAAGTTACTTTATATATACATATGTATATGGAAAACTGGTTCTAATGAAAACAAACTGCTAGCTTATTCTGTAGAAAATTTACTAACTCTTCTGCATGACTAAGATTATAGACATATGTCATTGCAAAGAGGTGCAAATTATATTGCTAAATTTTTTTTTTATGCATTGTTCTGGTGTCATTTCAAGTTTGACCATATATTTATAATAACAATCTGAACCTTCAAGATAAGTATCTACTACAGGAAAACTCACATCTAAAAAGAGATGATTTCTAAACAAACAGAATCATCTACTGTGTCTTTCAAGAACTTTTTCTATGCATTTATATTCATGCGATTTAATACTTATATATGCAAAAGAATGCATCTACATACAGACGCTGTGTTACACACAAAAGGTCAGGTACTTCTGTTTAGTAACTTGCTCACCTTCCCAAAGTAGTAGGCAGTAATCCTTTAAAATGTAAACAGATTGATCACACCTTTGCTCGCAACCCTGCAAAGGTTCCTATTTCATTCAGAATGAAAGCACAATCCCTGCACTAGCCTGCAGTGCTGAGTGATTTGACACCCTTACATCATCAGCCTCATCTTCCAGTACTCATTCACCTATTCATAACCACCAGCTAACTTGCTTCTCCTAGAGCAGCCCAGGCATGTTCCTGACTCAGGATGCTTGCATGAGCTGTTGTATTTGCTTGGTGCTCTTGCCCTGCCTCATCCCTTCATCTCCTTTAAGCCTTTGCCAAAACATCACTTTCTCAATGAGGCCTACTCTGACCACTATATTTATGATTGGAAACCTACCCAGATATCATGGAATTCTTGAACCTACTTTCTTCACCCGATCTCCTTCCTTTCTTCATCATACATATCACCTTGTAACAGAATATAAAAATCCCTTGTTCATAAAGTATATATTTTTATTATTCCCTCTCACCATTGACAACATCAAAACCAAAGAAGTGTCTGAGACAGGTCTCAAGTTAGAGGTTTATTTTGCCAAAGTTGAGAGCATCCTGGTATAGAAAGTTAAAAGTTCCTCTTCAAAGTTTCCCTTCTTGTTAAAGAATAGCAATAATAAATGTTAGAAAGAGCCTCTTTTAAAAACTAACTTTCTTCAAAGCCTTCTTGCTGTTTGCTAGTAACTCTTTGTTAAGCCCTATCCTACGTAGCTGTTAGATATAAAGGAATAAGTGCATTCTATGTCCTTGTACTTTAACCAAGATATTTGTGCTGGAAGTGCTCACAGGCATGTAGTACATTCTAGGTCCTTGAACTTTAACCAAGATATTTATGTTATTACTTTTCTAGCAAGCAACTTTTTCGCAAGCAACTTCCTCTCCTTTCCTTATTTAGACTTCCTGTTTTCCTTTTGTTCTCCATTGTCTTTACCTATTCAGAAAAGTTTTAAGTTGTTAGCCAATCAGGTTTAGTTTAGACTGTGAAGTCTGGCTCCAACTAATGGAGATCAGACACGGCAGTAAAGACCTCATGCATAAAGAGTAAATATGCCTGCCTTTCCTTTGTTCATTGTGCTTTCATGGCAAGATTGCTGACAGACAGTACCCTTTCTGCAGAACGTAAAATTGCCTCAAAGAGAAAACTTTTTGTCTGAATGCTAATTTTTCCTTGCTGTACCTAGGAACAAGCGTTCTGTTTGGGTAAAAGCCACAGAGACACAAGCTACCATAGGATCCTCAGCCCACACTTTTTCCTAAGAGGGTTTTGAGGGCTTCAACATTTAAAAGAGGAAAAATGTGGGCAGGAGGGAAAGATAAAGGGAAAAAAATAAATGGGGGAGGGATATGTAGTGAAGTGAATAGTCACATTTTTGTGAGGCTTTAATTAGTGCTCATTTAATCCTGAATCTGCATGTTGCATGTGGAAACAGGGGGTAAAGGAACAGTCAATTATACATTTTTCCTATGTTCAGCAAATCTCCTTTCTTTTTTTTTTTTTTTTTTTTTTTTTTTTTGGAGTCAGAGTCACTGTATTGCCCAGGCTGGAGAACAGTGGTATGTTCTTGGCTCACTGCAACTTCTGCCTCCCAGGTTCAAGTGATTCTCCTGCCTCAGCCTCCCAAGTAGCTGGGACTACAGGCACCTGGCATCACAACCTGCTAATTTTTGTGTTTTGAGTAGAGACAGGGTTTCATCAAGTTGGCCAGGCTGCTCTGGAACTCCTGACCTCAAGCGACCCACCCACATTGGCCTCCCATAGTGCTGGAATTACAGGTGTGAACCACCATGCCCACCCACAAATCTGCATTTTCCATAAGATAAAGTAAACATAAAGTAGAGGAAGAAGTCAAATATGCATGTGTCTTGTCTAGTGCCAGTGAAGATAAGCAATCAGTTTACATTGTCAGAGTGAGGGAGGCCACTTGGGGAGATAAGTGGCCTTCTATCTTGCAGCTATCTGTTTAGGAACAAAAGGAAAGGTAGTTTTTGTATGACTCCGTTTTCAAGCTTAATGTTTACCTTTGCCAGAGTGTTTGGGGCTCCAAGATTTTATTTTCCTTTCACAAGGCACACCCCAACTAATAAAAGCCAAGGACCTAAGAAAGTGACTGTCACAATGCACATGCTCCATAAATATTTTTGAAGAAATTTTAATTAATATTTATTTTAAATATTGAGATGTATTGCCAAAGTGGCCTTTGAAAGCTTTTTTTGACTGTTATTTCTTTCCCAGAGAGAGATAAAATACACAAAATAAAACCACAATGGCATGGAGTAGAGAAATTTTATAATGCAAGATACGAAAATCAAATGTTATTTTAAAAATACTGACAAATCATATCACAATTTAAAATATCTGTCTGAAACCAAAAGGCAAATAATTAACTATGGAAAAGTATTTGTAACATCTATACCAGACAAGAGGCCATCCTTCCTTCATTAAAAATGAATTACGTTTTTTTTTATTTGTTTGGTTTTTGACAGGGAGTCTCGCTCTGTCTCTCAGGCTAGAGTTCAATAGCACGATCTTGGCTCACTGCAACCTCTGCCTCCCGGGTTCAAGTGATTCTCCTGCCACAGCCTCCCAAGTAGCTGGGATTACAGGTGCCCGCCACCATGCCTGGCTAATTTTTGTATTTTCAGTCGAGACAGGGTTTCACCATGTTGGCCAAACTGGTCTCGACCTCCTGAACTCAGGTGATCTGCTCACCTTGGCCTCCCAAAGTGCTACAAGTCAATCAGAAAAAGACCAGTAACTGGCCTGCATGGTGGTTCACGCCTGTAATCCCAGCACTTTGGGAGGCCGAGGCAGGTGGATCACGAGTCATGAGTTCAAGATCAGCCTGGTCAACGTGGTGAAACCTGTCC